ATATATATATATATATTATTTGTATTTTCCAATACATAACAAATAAAAAGGTAAGACAGGAACAGGTGGGTCACATAAAGGATGAGGATGGTTGAATACTAATGACGGGGAGATGGCTGAAGTGTTAAATGCATTCTTCTCCACAGTATCTACCTCGTAAAGCAATGGTTTTAATGAGCACAACAAGAATCTGGGTAGCACTGGGAACAAAAATACCACTGTGGTTAACGGAAAATAGGGTTCTCTGCGGACTAGTAAGACTTAATGTGAATAAATCCCCAGTAACAGATAACTTGCACCCACGGGGGCTTAAAGAGCGAAGTACGATAATAGCGAGGCCATTGTTCATAATTTTTAAGGACTCCATACTGACTGGGGAGGTAACAGCTGACTAGCGTAAAGCAACTGTTGTACCAATATTTTAAAAAGGTTTGAGAAGCGTACATGGGAATTATAGACCAGCTAGCTTAACATCGATAGTATGCAAGTTATTTGAGGGTATGATAAAGGACCAGATTCATGAATATGTTGATGGGCATGATATCATAAGTGACAACCAACATGGCTTCAGGAAAGACCGTTCGTGTCAAACCAACCTATTAGCGTTCTATGAAGAGGTTAGTGGTAAGCTAGACAGAGAAAAGCCAGTGGACATAATGTATATTGATTTTGCAAAAGCATGTGATACGGTACCTCATAAACATTTCATTTTCAATCTTCAATCTTTGGGCATTGATGAAATGGTGTGTACTTGGATAGAGAACTGGCTAAGTGAACGTGTCCAGAGAGTATCAACAAATGGCTCATTTTCCAAGTGGTCCTTGGTTGACAATGGTGTGCCACAGGGTTCTGTCTCGGGGGCCATTGCTGTTCAACCTGTTTATTAATGATATTGGGACTGCTATTAATAGCAATATTACAGTTTTTGCTGACGATACCAAAATTTGAAGGGTAGTAAACTAGACAGAAGACATACCAATATTACAGGATGATTTGGATAAAATAGGGGGGTGGGCATCTACATGGCAGATGAGGTTTGATATTGAGAAGTGTAAGGTTATGCATTTTGGAGTTAAAATACACATGTAAGCTACCTATTAATGGGCATCCCATTGAGGGAATCAGAGGTGGAAAAAGATTTGGGAGTCCTAGTGAACTGTCGCCCTAGTAACAGCATGCAAAGCCAGGCAGCAGCAAATAAGGCGAGCAGGGCACTATCATGTATAAAAAAGGGAATGTACCGTAAAGACAAATCCATAGTTCTGCTTCTGTACAAAACACTGGTCCGACCACATCTTGAGTATGCGGTTTAGTTTTGGGCACCGATTCACAGGAAGGATGTCCTTGAGCTGGAGAGAGTCCAGAGACTTCACTCTGAAGAAGAGGAGACTGAGAGGGGACCTGGTATTAATGTACAAATTGTTTAATGGTGATGGGATAATTAGTAATAAACTGTTTACTGTCAGTTCAGTCAAGAATACAAGAGGCCACCACCTGAAACTGGCAGAGAAAAAGTTTGATGTTCAACAACGGGGATTCTATACTGTGAGCGCTGTAAATTGGGAAACCCCTTTCCACAGACAGTAGTATCAGCTGAGATTATGGAATCATTCAAAAACTATCTAAATAATGAATATATATATTTCTAACAAATTGAGTTATCCTTTTAATTAGGAGAAATAATTTATTTTATAAAATGGCTAAAGAGGGCGCTTTATTATACAAGTACAGAAATGTTATTTTAGTAGGCAAGTTTGTAAAGGCTGACCTCCCCAACTGTATTACATGACATTGCATTCAGTAGTTTTATACAATTTGTTCCCAAAACCGCTAATTTTCATGAAAACAACATTCCACAAAGATCTTGGGACAGAAAGGAGTTAATTTAAGCCGGGTATAAGTGTGGTTTTGACATTCTGAATGTGGGAGTTGGTTGTATATAATCTGGTCTAGTTTGCCACTCTCTCTAATTAAAGAAACCACTTAATAAATACACGTTAGTCTCAATGAATGTCACTTTTTATGACGTTTTAACAGGGCACAGGGCACGATGCTAGCATGTTCTAAATCAAACAGTATTCATTTTGTTGGAGCGTGTGTAAATGGCTATTAGGACATAAGGAGAACTGTTAGGACAGACCTTGCTAAACTTATTTGCGGCTGAGCCACTTATGCTTTCTCTAGTCGTGCCTTCTGTAGCACAATCTGGTTTTTATATGCTTTACCTTTTTCCTGGTGTTTTTGTGTTCTTTGCACATTAGCTGTACGTAGTTATGAATTAATGTCTACACCCACACAGTCTTCAAATCTAATTTAAAAAGATCTGTATTTCACAGGCCTGTTTTGTGCATTTTGCGACTTCTATTAAAGTGTATGTGAATCCCAATTTTTTTTTTGTTTAGTTTTGGCTAGAGTCGGTGATGCTTAATAACCCTGTTGTGTTTGTTCTTCTCTGTGTCCTGTTGGGGAGATTTTCCTTCACTTCTTATCTTAAAGACTCAAACACCCAAGGGTGGAGAAAATCCCTTCTCTGATATTTGTCACCAGAACAAGTGTCCCTAATCAAGGATTTCTGCTCACCTCCTGTTCCTGTGACAACTCAAGAATTATAGCTCTCCTATCAATTTCTCTATTGGAGACAATGGCCACCTGGACCAATAATGAGGATGAATCACGGACCAAAAAAAACCAACAAAATTAAAAAATACACTTTACATACACTCTCTAAAGTCTTGATTTATTGTTGGGAGATGTGATTGTTCAATGTCTTTTTTGATAATACTAGAAGAGCTTATCCAAAAGTCATTTAAATAGGGATGCACCAATACCAAGTACCGTACTCGGTACAAGTACAGATACTTTTCGAGCTCCAAGACTAGACTAGAGAAAAATTCAAAAGTTAGGAGGCCGCTGTCATTTGTAAGGAGACACGGAGCTCCTAGGATTTGTACATCTCTGTTAATGTATGATTTTGTTTTAATAAACATATACAAAGTGATGCACCAATACCATTTTTGCAAGTACAAGTACTGGTATTGGCCAAGTACTTACAGATACAAGAACTGATACATTTTTGTTTATTGTCATGTGGCAGTTTTTCTTAAACAACATCGACTAATGATTTCAGGACAGTGGTGGAGCGCTGGAGCTAGATCCCAGATGCAACCACTGCAACCCTGGTAGTTCTCATGAAAATGCCAAGTATCGGCACTAGTATTTGAACTAGTATCGGTGCATCCCTACAATTAACTTTCCCCTGTGTAGAAGTTTTACTCCATTATAAAAATGCACAGATGGACATTTTATCACAGCAAACTGATGACAAACACATATCTATTACAAATTAGGTTGCCTATAATTTTCAAGAGGTTTTGGTCCATTCGCGACCTGTCAGGAAGTGTTCATGGACAGATTTTCTATTGTCGCAACAGCTCCATGAGGAATTGATGAATCCAGCTGCTACCTTATATTAAGTTGGTCTATCCGCTCCTGTTTAGCATTGCCTTGCTGTGCAATGAAATTGATGAATCTAGCTCACAGTATTTAGGTAAAATGCATGGATAGATACAGATCTGGACACTGTCAAACTCCAGTGTAGCGTTAGATGTCCAAGAGCCAGGGGTAGGCGACCATGCCCTCCAAAGCAATCTAGTTCAATAAAGAAATAAGGCAACTATTGGATGATCAATTTAAATCTAACCAAGTCCTTGCACAGTGCAAGAGGCATTGAAAAAAGTGAAGAAAAAAAAACAACAACAAAAAAAAATGCCTCCAATAAAAAAGATCCTCCATGGTCACCCTTCCAATCAGAAGACAGGACATGTCTTATTTGTTTTTTCGGGTCTTAGTTGCACGCATTTGCATTTATGTGGAAGCTGGACAAGGTGCTCCCTATATCATGCAATCCTACTCTAATTGACAAAAGCACCAGCAGTAGGACACGTATGAGCAAGCCTACCTAGAAGATGCCCATTCCTGCCTGTGATGCATACTCGGCGCAGTAGTGGCCCTGGAGCTTAGCGGTTCTTCTCAAATAGCTGATTATCAAGGGAATGAGCATTACAACCCTTTCTGATTAATACTGTACATAAGTGGTGGTCAACTTTCTTGATCTACAAGGCCTCAAGTGCGGCCCCTGACATCACCAAAGGGCTACACAGTCGGTGCATTTGATGTTACAGAAATGAGACTGCTACAAACCTGTACTTCCATATTTGTTCTACCTACAGCCCCCTTAAAAATTATGCATTTGATCATTTTCTTAGCAAGAACCATTTTAAAAGATCAAAGGGAAAAAAATTACAAAAAAGTAAGATATTGTAAGCGAAATACAACAAACCATTTACTAGAGGCCAGTCTAAAGAATATTTTTCCTTCAGAAGCCTGAGTAAGCACCTTGGTAAGAAAAACACTGACAAGTGTTTCTAGGGTTCCATGGGGCTGCACAATAGGTGCCAAAGGGCTGCATATAGACACTGGGTCACAAGTTGGGCACCAGGTCGTACACAGGCTGCAGGATTTTCCAATGCACACACTCGAGGCAAAATGCCCTTTTTAAGTTGAATGTGAAGCAATTTACTGTATTTTTTCCAGGGTGATCATAATGCAAAGCTTTCTCAACATTTATTTATTCATCCTAGTTAAGACCTGAATCATTCCTATATTTATTTCAGGTCGAGGCTGGAGCTGCAAGGAGAGGTGTGCAGAGGCTCGGAGTGAAGACAATGCATGCCACTGCTCTGAAGATTGTTTGGCCAAAGGAGATTGCTGTACTGATTATCACATAACATGCAAAGGTTAGTAGCTGTCTTCTGTCATCACCACTCATTTTATTGTCTGGGGAAATCGTTTAAAAAGAAACCTTTTCACTGGGGTTTTGTTGCCAAGTTGATCTAATCTGTACTGCTTCAAGTAACTTTTTTTTTCTATGTCTTGATGTAGTATGCAGTTCTTGTGCTAGGTTTGTTTCTATGTTTTTGTATTTTTATTCATGTTCCTTAAGAATCCCACTTCAGATTTTAGACCTCCTTCATACCTGGATTTTGTGTAAATCCAATGGCATTTGAAGTTAGTAGCAGAACTGCTCACTGGTCTCCATGACTTGAACTTACACAACGTGTGATTGCTTTGATGAAAAACATTGGTGAGAGGCAGGTAATATGCTATGCCTGCCTGCCTGCCAGAAATGTTTTATTCTAAAGCTATAGTTCCACTTTAACTAATGGCGGTGCAGAATGTGAGAATATGTTGTTCAAGGGTTCTGTGTGTATAGCCAAAATGTTGTCATTGAAAAGATTTGGATAAAGTGTCAGTTTGTAATTTGTTCTCTGGGGACATTAAAGTTTACCTATAACTTTTAATTAGTTTTTGGATAGATTGGAGGACTAGAAGCCTTGTCTGGTTTTACTGCCGTCTGGTACAAAGGCTGCCCCCAGGACAGGAAGTGAGACAATATCTCTATAACAGCAACACAGACAGAAGAGAGAGGTTTTTTTTTTCTAGTAAAGTAGGGGAATACTAGAACCCCACCAACGTTTTATTGTTTCTTTTTTCACTGTTGCAGTTTTTCCCTCACTTCCTGCTTAGTCTAAGGTCAACCATGAAACAGAAGGTGAGCGGAAAGCTCTCTAACAGAGCCCTGGTTAGCAGTAAAACCTGACAGGAGTCCAAATTCTATCCTAAACTTAAAAAAAAAAAGTTTTAGATGTAGATACGCTTTTAACCCTCTCTAATTGTACTGGTGACCATTGAGGTGGATAAAGTGATGGGAAATCCCAAAATTTAAAGTTTGTCACAAGAACAATGGCAGATGGGAAATCTTCTAACTGGGTAAGGGTGGAAGGGGTGAAGGGAGGGCTGTGTTGGGAAATCCCAAATTTCACCATTTGTCATTAGAATAGGTGAGGAGAAATTTAACTGGGTAAAGGGATTGGGGACTATCCTGGTGACAACACTCTAAGATGGGATTTCTCAGCACTTTGGAAAGATTTCTGTCTAAACAAGATTTGAAGAGAAATCTTTCCTAGAGGGCACAGGATATATATTAATATTAATGTACAGCTGTATTTTGGAAGGAAGACAACTTGCTAGACTTTCAAAAAGTATAATGAAAATTATATATTGGATCCCCCTATGTGTCTTGTATTTTTTTTTTTTTAAGAAGTAGTAAGGTGATTATCAGTAGGGTCAATAAGCTAACTCTTTGTGATTGAACGATAGTTAATACATACCAGGGGATGGTGTTGTAGCATCTTCTACCAAACCCATGGCCAGTATGGACATTTCTGTCTGTGTTGTCTAGCAGATGGTTTCAGTGCTAGCTGCACTGAAATAATAGGAGATGAGATCTGGTTATTACTCTAGGCAACACACAGTTCTCTCAAGCTCTTCTATCAAGTGTATGATGAGAACTGTAGACCCAAACATAATATTATGAAAGAGTAGGGTAGTAATGTTTAAGGCTTACTCTAGTCCTGTGTTCCTTCTTACTGTCTTGGCAGTAATAAAAGGTTAGTGATGGAGTATAGATGTAAAAGGCTCTAATGTTAAGAACTGCCTAACTCCATTGTAAGGGACACCAAGCTTTCCACAACCAAATCCCGCAAAGATGCTACTCAAAAGAGGCGCTGGTCCTAAATATGTTAAAAAAATCACTGGGTGGAGAAACACAGATAAATGCACAGAACTACATTTAACTTGAACCTTTTTAAAGTTCTTCACAATCTGCAATCAATGAAGAAATTTGAGCCACTTAAAAAAACAAATCTTGCAGTGTTTTTAAGGGTGCATTTTCTTCTCAACCCTTTGTTAATTATTTTCTTAGGTTTCTTCGGCCTCCTTTGATCATTTTCTCTGTTGATGGTTTTCGTGCTTCCTATATGAAAGAAGGAGCGAAGGTTATGCCCAATATCTACAAACTGAGTAAGTCCTTTAAATGTAGATGTTACTTGTTTTTATTTTTGTTCCCTTCTACTCTTATGGTGGAACTTTTTAGAAGTTGATCAATCCAAATGTATAATTGGTCAGAAAAATATGTGATGTAATTATGGAAAAGGTACTGCAGTCTGAACTCTTATGCCAAATGACATGCAACAGTCATGTTATCATTCTGACGAAGAGCTGGTATTAATTTCCTATTTGGGTTTACGTAGGTATTGCACCCAGGGCCAACAACATTGTTGGGGAATAAAAAGGAGGAAACGTCCTTCTCCTCTCTCCCTTATTTTTTTTTTAGACATGAAAAGACTTTTCAGGTCCCAGTCAGGAGACTATCTGCATGGAGTTCGCATGTTCTCCCTGTGCTTGTGTTAGTTTCTTCCGGGTACTCTGGTTTTCTCCCACACTCCAAAGACATGCTGGTAGGTTAATTGTCTTCTGTCTAAAATTGGCCCTGGTATGATATTCTACTGAGCGTGCCCAAGATGGCTGCCTCACGCTCTACCAAAACAGCTAAGTGTTTTGAGCCCACAGGGAGAAAAGCGCTAAAGAAATATAAATACAATAAGATCTAGTAATATAAAATGAGCTTCCGTTCTGGAAATAGGTTTGATTTAAGAACTTATGTGGTTATTGTCTGAAGCACCCTCTTCCCTTTGGATGTGCTCAGCAGGAATAATTCTTATACTGATCGATTTAATTAGACTTGAATAGGAGTAGAGGGAAAGTCAAGGCATCACCTGTAGCAACCACCCAAATTCATTCTCATGTTTTTCTAGAGAAAGTTATAAATGTACACATAAGGTTTAAGAATGTTTATTTGAATACTGCGGCCAAAACATGTTTTTCCCTTTTCTACCAGTTCTATAAAATACCTTTTTGAATTCCTGAAAAATGATGTGCATGGACTCTTTTCTAAACATGCAATTCCCAGCAAATGCCATCTGTTCAGTTTTAGGAGTAGCAAAGCAAAGACTGGGCAGAGGTGAAACAGCAGGAATATTCATCTTGTAATGATGTGACCACTTTAAATGCCATCTGTAAATAATAATTACCCATTTTAAATTAATATAATTACACATTACAGTTTTCTGGTGGCAGACAATACACACACAATACTGGTGCTCCTTATGTTAATGTTGTGTTCTAAGCATTGCGTTACCGGCTCTGAAGTCCTATGGGACCTGAGACACAGATAATTGTGCTGCTTCAGTTGAGTTAAAGGGTGATTGCTGAAACCACAAAGGCTACGCTGTCATATCAAATCATCGCATTTCCTCCATGCCAAGTTACAGTTCACAATATAAATTGGGCAGGATCCAAGTTCTGTTCAATAGAATGCAACATGTTTGTACCCATTTTTTTCTGTTTAACAAAGATGCAATATGGATTATGGATATAGAATGTAAGCTCCCACGTGTACTGTGTTAATTTTTTGTAATTGTACTGTCTCCCTTTATTTTGTAAAGCACAGCACAAACTATATATATATATATATTATGGATGCACCTACATTTTATATTCTGTCACAATTTGGGTTGTAGAATTATAGTATTTGTTGTATTTGCCTCTTTCTATAGGAACCTGTGGAACACATGCTCCATATATGAGACCTGTTTATCCAACAAAAACATACCCCAATTTGTATACGCTGGCAACGGTAATTATATAGACTATACATTTTTTTGTGCATAAAAGGAACCAATGAGCAAATAAATGTTTTGGACATGGGGCAGTTCACTTATCAGATAAAAGAATATTCCATATCAGTCAATGAATCTAAATGTAATATTAAAGTGACTCTAAACTCAGGAGTTAAATCTTAAACATATATTCAAGTTGTTGTTCTGCTTGGTACCTCTGTGTAGCAGTCATTTTGATAGCAGTTTTCTTCCTGATGTCCCCCTGACGATTGGGGATCCGATGACAGGTGGGAAAATGTATTCAAGAAGCAGCAAGAGAGGGGGAAACAGCATAGAATGAATGAAACAAACAGGGAGATCCCTCCACTGCAGGTCCTCAGGTACAGCTTCCTCTCCAACAAGGAGAACAGTGAGCTGTGACAGTAATAACATCACCAAATCTCACTCTAGTAAGCCTAGTAGCCAGAGTTCTCACATGCTTTCATAATGCAGATTTCCAGCTATGAGGCTACAGAACAGACAGGAAGTGCACTCTTATTTTTCAGGAGGAATTCAAGGCAAAGGGTAGATTTTTAGGGTACTGCTTGGCACAATTCACTTTTCTTGATCCTGTAACATAGCAAATCTTCTATTTTGTGTGCAGGTACACTTTTTAATACAGTGTGAAATCGTACTATTAAACTTTTTAGGATAAAATTGCAATGTGTTTGTGTCTTTTATTTAAGGGCCTTTATCCAGAATCTCATGGCATTGTTGGGAACTCCATGTATGATCCTGTCTTTGATGCTAACTTCAGCCTTCGGTCACGAGAGAAATTTAATCACAGATGGTGGGGTGGACAACCGGTAAGTAGGAAACTGCACACATCACTGCTTGTTGGGTTCTTGGAGTACATAGTCATACACTTTCAATTTGTAATTGCTACTTATTTAATTATTCAAGTAGTCTGAAAATCTGGGGTTTGAGGTTTATATTTTTAATGGCTAATTACGCTAATGTTATTTAGAGAGTACTTGTCATGTCGAGTGTGCTCATTTATAAGATATTACATCATTCCCTTTTAAATTTCGTCAACTAGCATAAGCTGTTCCGCCTAAATCAAACAGTAAATCACACAGTAACGGCATGTAGGACATTTAAATGTGTTTAAAATTTTTCTATGTGTCTTTCAGCTTGTGACACTTTTTGACTTTGCAAAAACACATAAATGAAAATGTTTAAATTACGGACAAAGAATCTGAGTTTTAAAGGAAATCCACTAATGTTTACCTTCTTTACAGCTTTGGATTACTGCTGGAAAACAGGGGCTGAAGGCAGCCACATTCTTCTGGCCAGTGTAAGTGTGTAATAAACAATAACTATAATTTAATTATGGTTATTTTTACTTATAATGGACCCCAAATCATTCCTACATTTCAAGTCTCCATGTTAGAGCTTGTATGACATCCCTTGTCAAAGCCATGGGCATTAATATGAAGATGCATCCCCCTTTGTGGAACAGCCTCCACTCTACTGGGAAGCCTTTCCTCAAGCTTTAGAAGAGTATCTGTTTACATTTCTGCCCATTGAATCAAAAGAGCATTTGTGAGGCCAGGTACTGATGTTAGACCAAATGTCTAGGTTTGCAATTGTCATTCCCATTCATCCCGAAGGTGTTCAATAGGATTAAGATCCAGGTCTGTGCAAACCATATGTAAATGGAGCTGGTTTGTGCACAGGGCACGGTAATTCTGGTGTAGAAAAGGACCTTCTTTAAACTGTTACCACAAACTTGAAAGTGCACAGTTGTCTAAAAGGTTTTTTGTATGCTGTAGTGTTACCTTTTACTGCAAACACATTTGGAGGGGTGTCCGCATACTTTTAGGCATATGCGTAGTTAGGTGGGATGGTTAGGTGTCCACAGACTCTTCAGCATATTGCTGGGCTAATCCCAGGTAACCATTACATGGCTAATTGTTACAGAAAATGCTTTTCTTCATTTTTTGGGGGCAATGGGGCAATATGCTGTGTCAATAGACCTAGAACCAATGACTAGAAGAGTAGGAGAAAACTGCCCACCTTTGCTTGAAGTTTGGTTCTAGGGGTATTGCCCTAGTGGGTAAAAATGCATATACAGTATACTATTCCACCTATACAAATGTACAAACTGTGCAGAAACAGAAAAAATGGGGACCCATCTGGATTGCACTGGCAAGCAGGGCTACAGTCTGGAACTTTGTACTGTTCATGGAAATGTGTTACTGACAGTCAGGCACATGATATGTGGGTGACTGTGTTTTGCCTCCCTAGGCCATGGCCTATGTATCAATCCAATTGGATCACCGGCTCATTTAGCGTGCGTTTCCACACCCCTGAATTTGATGTTAGTTTGTGTGTACATATATTGCTGCCTGCATATGTTACATCATATTTGGTTACATTTCTTCCAGGTCTATACCTTATCAGCGGAGAGTTTTAACAGTTCTTCAGTGGCTGCATTTGTCTGACAGTGAAAGGTACTTCGAATGTGTATAGATATATTTTTTTTTTTAAATGTATTTTTCACGTTTAAAAATCCTCATTTTACAAAATCTTAATTGTTTCATAAAGCAAAACAGAGATTTAAAAAATTTGAAAAACTAACATAAGTTCGGTTTATCATCTGGCGGGTTAGATGCACGGAAAAGTTAAGTGCATCACATCCACATTTTGAAGTAATGTATCTGAAATGTAGATGACTGAATTCATACACCTGCAGATTTGATAATATTGGCTCCATTGGTAAGCAGATGGATAATCCTTGTGGTAGATATCAAAATTGACTGCTTGAAGAAAACATATGGCTTGCTATGACCAATAAAAATAAATACGTTTATTTTAAAGCATTACTTAGATTTTTTCTGCATTTTATTGATTCTGATCCTAATCTTGTCCTAGATTGATTAAAAACTCTTGCTGTAGGTATCGTGCACCAAATACTGGCTAACTTTGTAGGGTGATTTACTAAAACAATAGAGACTGTTCACTTTGCAAAGCGAGTGTTCACTGAGCTTAGTAAATAAAATGAAGCTATGTTCACAACCAAGCATGCAAGCAACCAACCAATCATGTCCCAGCTAAATAATGTATGCTGCAAATTGAGCATACACCTTTAAAGTGAAAAGTCTCTACTGCTTAAAGGACAACTGTTTCTTTAGGACAAATTGTCCTTGTCCTCCCCATTCCTGAATGCAGCTCACTCACTTTGTTCCAGTGATCTTCACTATATGGCCTTGTCCAGTTCCACCCAGCCTTCTTTTTGAAAATGTCCCCACCAGGTTTTTAGAATATGCCTCTCCTAAAAAAATTAATGGGGCCATGGCATGTGTGTGCACTAAGACGACCCAGTGGGGACATTTTAAAAGGAAAGGCTGAATGGCACTGGGCAGAGACACCTAGAGGGTTATTCACAAAAGGGTGAAGAGTTTGGAGAAGGCAGGAGAAGTGAATAGGCCAAAATAGATTATTTGGAAAAATTCTCCAATTCAGCTCACTTTGCAATTCAGTTATGTTTTCCTAGATTGTTCACTTCTCTTGCCTCCTCCAAAGTCTTCACCCTTTAGTGAAGAACCCTGATTGTTCAATCCTTGTAATGGGGATCAAAGTAAGTATGGAAGCAGGTGGGCTGCACTCAGGCCGGTGGGGGGGAATCATTAATGGACATCTTGTACTAAAAGATGCATTTGTCCTTTTAAAGAAATAAAATCCATTGGCCATAGTTATAGACGGCTTGATCTAAATGTTGTATAGAAATATAACTTGTCTCCACTAACACCTGATGCTTTGCACACACAATTGATCTTTATCGGTCCTTTCTTTCAGGCCTTACGTCTATGCACTTTATTCAGAGCAACCTGATCAAACGGGACACAAATATGGACCGTTTAGTACCGAGGTTGGTGCAGATTTCCAAAATGCATTTTGTACTACTTTTCAATGCAACTAAATTTGGATGCCGGGATTACATCCAGGCAACTGATATTTTCAGAAGGACGTCAGCAGCTGCCTCCACTGTTCTCTAATAACAGATTTGGTGGAGTCTTCTCATATGAGCTTGTGATAGCGATGCCTTGTATTTGTGTATGTTTATTCTACAGCGCTTGCATCAACATGCGTACAAATCACATGTGCTGACGTGCATTTTTACAACACTGTTTTATTCGTTGTGGTGCTTTTTTTTTTTCTTTCCTTCCTTTCTCCGAGTTTCAGTACACAGTATCACTCCTCCTTTGCCTATTGTGTGTTGCAGCACATTTCAAAGTGCTGCAAATACATTCACCATGCTCTGTTGTAGCATTGGCGGGAATTGGCACAATTTGAAAGAAAAGGCTTTTTTACCTTGTCTTTGTGTTAGGTATGTGTTGGTGTGAACAAACCCTATAGCTGACCATACAAGCTTAGGATTCCATTGATTTCCCTATCCACACTAAACAGCATGGATAGAAAAATCACAGCTGCCAGCTATTGTATTCAGCAGCTAAATACCCGAACATGCAGTGCTCTGATTGGGGTATTGGCGACAGGGCCACCGATGCCTCAAATTTAGCTGACCATACACTGCTTGAATTTTGACCAATTATTGCAGGATCAGCCAAAATTTGAGCAGTGTATGGCCAGCTTAAGACCTGCAAGTCTGCATTGTACAGCGGTACAGTGCCAAGCAGCATGACACATGTAGACCAGCAGGCTCTGGCCACATCAATACTAAGAGATGTGGACCCGCAGGGATGTAGGTTCACTAACAGTAAGCCACCACTAGCAGCCGAAAAGCTGTGCAGTCTTGATATACTAGTGTTTGTTTTTTTAATTTTATTTATTTTTTTATTATGTTGGCAATCTCTCTGAGAATGTGTTTTGGACTGCTTTGCATTCACCAGGTCCTTTTGACATGTTTGTCATTAAAGGCAATGCATGACAACACAAGAATGTCAAAATGTTCTCAATTTTTTTAGACCAGATCTATGGGTGCTGCCATTGCAGACTTATTTTCAAAGCTGCAGGCTCCAAGATTATCATGCTATGTCCTTGCTCCACTACGTCACCAGCCTGAAACAAGCATGTGGCCAGTTATGTTTGAAGGGTCTGAACTCTCATACTAAAGGCTTGTTCCAGGTGGTTGACACATAAGCTGAAGAAAGTGAGAGGATGATAGCCTCAGTGTTTGCAACTCATGGCAGCTCCGCTATCACTATAGGTTCCATTTAAGTCTCCATCATGTCTTTACTTTTTGCAGCTGTCTAATCAACTGAAGGAAATCGATGTCATTGTGGGCATGTTAATGGACGGTCTAAAGCAAATGAAGTTACATCGATGCGTCAATATTATGTTTGTGGGAGATCATGGTAAACCTTTACTTTTATTATGTAATAGATAGAAAAGCATTACAGAAATGTTATCTTGTCTGGTTGGTCTGTCTCCACCCTTCTATTATCTTGCCAGATTAAATACACCGATCATTATGACCATCCGACTGATATTGAGTACCGGTAAGTCCTCCTTTTTGCCAAAACAGCCTATCGAGGCATGGACTCCACTAGACCCTTAAGCATGATGTGGTACTTCACCAATGAAGCTACAGTAGCTCTCCTATTGGATCGGACTATTGGCTGTCCATGACCCTGTCGCCGGTTCCCAGGTTCCTTAGACCACTTTTGGTAGGTCTTGACCACTACAGACCAGGAACATCCCACAAGAGCTGCAGTTTTGGAGTTGCTCTGACCGAGTCCTCTAGCCATCACAATTTGGCCCTTGTCAAAGTCACTATAACCCTTACGCTTGCCCATTTTTTCTGCTTCCAACACCTTAATTTGAGGGACAAAAGGTTCACTTGCTGCCTAATATATCCCACCCGCACACTTCCAGGTGCCTTTGTACTGAGATAATAAAAGTTATTCACCTCACCTGTCAGTGGTCATAATGTTATTGTTGATCTGTATATATCAAATGAAAGCTAAGCCCCAGGTTGATGGCTAAATACACAAATAAAATACTTATATGGGAGATGTATTATCTGCTGAACAATTTGTATTTCTGTCTAGAGATTAACACAGTCATGCTATTCCGCACAACTAGCCTGGTGACCCGATTTGCAGCTAAGCAACAGAGCTGGGTCACCAGCCTGTGATTGAACAATGAAGGAGCAGCAAGAGACTGATAATACATCTCTGTGCTCTCTCCTCCTGTTAGCAGGTTCCTTTTGAGCTCAAAGAGGAAGGTTCACTACCTGGACCAATCGGGTGCCCTACATTCATATGCAATTACAGTAGGTCCCATCGCACTCTTGACCTGATATAACCCAAAGTATTAGGTGGGTGCTGAAGTGACTGCAGATGCCACTGCTGATCATGAAATACTCGAGAGGTCAATTGCACTCCAACATAGTTTCTGTCAATGCTTCTTTATTGACAAAAGGTGTGTCACATTGTTTAGCGACGTATTGAAACCGTACTGGTTCCTTCTTAAGGGAAACAAAGTGCACAAATCATATGCTGGGCACCTGATTGGTCTCAAGTAGTGACCTTCCCTCTTTGATTTCAGTCTCTTGTGCCCCATTTTACAGCAGCACTCAGAGATTCAATCACTTAAACCGGTCACATTCAAAAGATATAGATTTTTGAAAAATTAATTGTACATAACTGGATTCAGTATGTGCCTGGATTACAGTAAAGGAAGAATACGGCCGCACTCCGTTCCATGCATGAATCAGTTTATTGAAAATTCTTTAGTAACACTGAGTCCTGCCTGAGGTCTGCCCCCCTCTGACATGTTTCTCCCAATCCTGGGCATAGTTATAGAGATTGGGTGAAAGATGTCAGAGGGGGCTGACCTCAGGCAGGACTTGGTGTCGCTGGCGAATTTTCAATAAACTGATTCAGCGTGGAACAGAATGCGGGCAGATTCTTCCTTCACTATGTGCCTGTTTGGTTGGAGCAAGGACACACTCTTGCAGGTGAGAACCTGGCTGTCTTTCCCCTGCTATAGCCATGGAGGGGCAGTGCTTTATTCCTATGCCTTGGTGCCTGGATTACAGCTTTGTTTTTTATTAAACGTGATTTCTTCCTTTTTATGAGAGCTGTTTTACCTGCCAAATGATTTGTATTTCTACCCATCCAGCCCCGGAGTTTAAACCGCTCTGCCACACAGCACAGTCCTGTCTGGCTAAGGGCAGTGAACTGCTCTTTCTCTTCTTAGGGGTTCTCTGCCCACCCTGTGACTAGGTCGCAATAGAAGAAGGAGCAGACTGAAGCTCATCTCTACGGCACTCTTCTATTATCAGCATGCTTCTTTTACGGCAGCACAATTGGTTGACTACTCATGCTGCTTCTCCCTCCCCTCTCTGAGCTCTGCTATACAGTGACTGAGCTGACATTAATTTATGCTTGTTATATCTGCCTGGAGTTCAGCTTTAAAGCTTTTATACTTGTTATATGCTTTGTTAAATTTTTGTTTTGCGTACACTATGTCCTGTTAAGTAGATTTTAGTGGATTATTCCATCAGATGATTTGAGGTTTACGGCACATGTCTTTACTTGCCAATCTCAGTCTTGGTATTGTTTAATTTTCTTGGCCCAGGTAACAATAATTCAGTAATTGCGTGTTCCAAGGTTAAGGGTGCTGGCTTCCAGCAGCGCCTAGGTTTATCCAGCTGGGCTGATTAAATAGCTTTCAAATTCCACGTCTGTCAGAGCTTTGCTTTGATTACATTTTGAGGTTTAATTAAAAGGCTTGTATTTTTTTTTAATCCAACATTTCAAGCTGGACTAATTCAGACAATTTATTGAACTATGAACTCGATTTTTTTGGAAGCCAATGATTACTTTTTAGGTCCTCTTCAGCTAGAACAAACTGTACATGCCAAGCTCAATTGTTTTGTTTAATTTTCGGATGAGCTGAACATGTTCGTGCATTTGAGGGAGGATTTTTGGCAGCGTTTTAGATTTACTATTCGGAGAAGGCACATCTTGAAGCTCGGCTAAATATAGAATAAACTACATATATAACTACATCCTAATATGAATATCAAAACTATCCGTATACTCAAAAACACCTAAATGAAGGGAATTTATCAAAACTGAAGCAGACAAAATATCTGTGGAGCAGCTGTGCATGGCAACCAATCAGGCTCTCTCTTTCATTTTCAAATCTTAACCGAACAAACTGAAGATAAAAGCTGATTGGTTGCCATGCATAGATGCTCCAGATTTTGTCTGCTCCAGTTTTGATAAAATTCCCCCCCAATGTGTATTTTCTAAAAGGTCATATTAAACACGTACAAACTAAACATGTAAACTATTTACAAAAAAATGCTTAAAATCTGTTTTTAGTAATCACCGGTTTTAATCAATTTTCTAGAAGCGATCTTCTTTGCTGTGCCATATATTCACTATCCTATTTCATATACTGTGGCGTTCTCTCTGTATTAGCATCCTTGCTGAAAGACTGCTTCAAGGAAATCAATTATTAAATCATCACCAGCTTGCAGTACAGTCAATAGAGGTCTCATGACAGAGCTTTGGTCCATCAGTTTCAACTGAGATCTGAGACTGTGGCACTAAACTGAAGTTAAATCTCAAAAAATGCATTCAAGTACCCTAGGGCCCCTTTCACAAAGGCCTGATCAGGAGAGGATCCATGCACGGATCTTCTCCTGATTTGATCAAAGCAGGACAGAGCGGAAGTCACCTATGTGACATTCATGTCCTTCCAGGTTTTTTCCTACACCTTGCGATGGAGAAAAAAGCGGAAACTGCCGGCCCCATGTTGATCTATGGGGAATCTGATGTAAAGGGACATGTGTCTGTTTACATCAGATTACCCCTGATCCTGCACGATCCGGTCCGGTGAAACGAATCGCTGTTCCATTTATATTTCTGGAAATGGCCGGAGGCAGGGGTAACCGGGTGTAAACGCCTGCCTATAGACTTACATTGGGCATCCGATCGGGTCTGCTTAAAAAAACTATAAAGGCCCACCTGATTTGGACCGGCTGTGTGAAAGGGGCCTAACTATTAACAATACTCTACCTCATCTGTGCATCTCTCAAATGTAGTGATGCAATTGGTGCTGACTCTGTCCTTCCTTCTGGAGGGGGGCTACTTTTGTTTCCCATGGTCCCTGTGTGTGTTGTAAAGAAGTCACCGATCTAAGCTCACTCCTGTGATGGACTACAATCTCAATACAAATTATGAAACGAAACCTGAGGTAGTCCATCACAGGAGCAAGCTTGGAGGGGTGGCTACTTTACAACACACACAGGGACCATGGGGAACAAAAGTAGTCACCCTCCAGAAGGAAGGACAGTGTCAGCACCAATTCAGAGATGATTTGAGGATCTACAGCCGAGTGATACAGGAAAAATGTACATTTTGTTAATAGTTAAGGTACCCAAATACATCTTTGAGTTTACTGTCACTTTAATGAAGGACAGTTATTGTGTTGCTAAGCACGGAACAGGACATGGGTATAGGAAGAGCTAACAACCTTGTTTTTGCTAAAAATATTCCAGGTGTATCGAATCAAAAGATGTGCAAAGTCTTTGTTTTCTTTAGAAAGCAGCCATGGCCTGAGTAGACAAGCCTGCCCCTGGCAGCATGCTACAGAGAAGGACTCTTGATCCCTTTGTGGAAGCAGTGGTTTATCTGCAGTGGTCCAACACACTCCCTGCTGAGTCAGTCCTATAATTTTGCAATCCGTAATACTCATGCTCCTTGCTTATTAGATAGTTCTATTCCTAAATCAGCAGGGGGCATATCAGATAGAGAGACCACTGCTTCCATACAGAGAGCAAGGATCCTTCTTTGCAACATGCTGACAGGGGACAGGCTTTCCTACTCAGGCTGTGACTGCTTTCACAAACTCTTAAGACTTTGCACACCTTTTTGTTTTGATGCACCTGGAATGTGTTTAGTTGGTTTATTGAGCAGACTTCTGTCTATTTTTTTTTGGACTGTGGTAATATTTTCTCAGATATTAACCTCTGTTTCTTGGCACAGGTATGGAAGAAGCAACATGCGAGAGAACTGAATTTCTGAACTCCTATTTAAACAATGTGGACGATTTTGTCTTCTTACCTGGATCTTTAGGACGTTTGCGTACTAAGAACAGTCTGCCTAAACGTAAGTTCAGTGATCTCAGTGCAATCAATATTGCTATTTTCGTCCAGATAAGAGAGGATAACAATTTAACTTTTGGTATACCCGATGTGCTAAATGATAACTTTTTAAAATGTTATCCGCTACAACAGATTTTTTTTCCATACAGCATTTACAGTTTAATCCATTACGTTATTACAACTAGAGAAATCTCTAAAACGTTTTATTGAGGAGATAAAGGATCTGTGTTGATAGGCTTTTGTTCATTTCATGTGCATGGTAATGGAAAGCACGCTTGAAGCCCATCATATGCAGGTCAGAAGTAAGTCAACTGCACCTTTCAATGAGTTCTGGATGATCTTAGTAGCATTTCACTATAGCGTCAAACTCAACGCAAGCTCAAAGCCCGTTGACACAGGCTGATATTCTCGTCTGGTCTTGGAAGCTAAGCAGACTTGGGTCTGGTTGCTACTTGGATGGGAAACACAGGCTGATAAAATGGGAGTAAAAAACTATTGGAATAATTTTGGGAAAATTGTCCCCTTATCCAAGTGGCTTCCGCAGATGTGGTAGATATTTGTTTTAATTAGCAGTTGCATTTTACCTGAGAGTAATATTTTTGGGTGGACGCTTGCCTTCCTATATCTTATGAACTTTGGCAACAAGATCTAAACTCCAGAGATCCCAACTCCACCCACCTGCCATTTACTTTACAGAAATAAGAAGTATAGGTCTCTGATGGAAGAGTAAGTTATTGGAAGTCCAGTTATGGGATCTTACTGATGGGTTCCATTGGAGATATAAAATGTCCCATAGGGTCTCTAATTAAAATGATAGATTTTGGTGGACTAAAGTGCCTTTTATATGGAGATTTAGCCACAAAACAATAAACTTGCTTTGTTTTCCTTGGGTTTATCATCAATAGGGATGCACCAATACCGATACTAACATTGGCATCGGGGCCGATACCAAGTATTTAGGCGAGTACCTGTGCTCGGCCAAATGCTCCGATACTTACCCTCTACTGGAATTTCCGGTGAGAGGGAGATTCCTTCTGTCAGTGCTGCGAGGGCACATGGGGCCGACTTCCCGGCCAATCAGAAAGCCTGACAGCAGGTAATGCCAAACATCCGGCTCGATGTTGACTGGATGGGAAGCCGGCTTCCTGGCCAATCAGCACTGAGCCAGCCAAACAGCATGGATCTGGATTCCCAGGCAATCAAGAAGCCGGATGGTGGGTGATGACACGCCGCCCAGCTTACTGATTGGCTGGGAAGCCGGCTCCATGCTAGCGGAAGTATCGGTACTCGGTATCAGCGAGTACCGAAAAAGATAAATATCGGTACTCGATACTGAAAAAAACAGTATTGGTGCATTCCTAATCATTAATATTGGCTATGGTAGGACAGCTGTGTGTGCTGCACTGGTCTCCAGTAGAAGACCCATATGACCTAAACATAATCATTCATTTTTTGAAGGCACTGTAAAGTCTGTATTCTTACCTGAGGTTTTGGAGCACCACCAGATTGTGTGTTATGTTGGTTTGTATAAATCAGTTTTCAATGTAATCATTGCAATCATATGAAACCTCATCTATTAAAATACGTTGATACATTAGCCACTGTTTCAGTTAACGCTTTTAGAATGAACTTCATGTTTAAACTCTAGAGGTTTATTTCACAGCCTCCTCATGCTGAATAACATTCTGAATATATAAATTTGATGCTGCCTACACTTTTGTGACTAACAGTTTGGCTGAAAGTGTTGAATATTTCCAATTTAATTGAGCAAACACTGTCAGCTGTTCAGTACTATAGTGGCAGTCCAATGTGCGCTTGTACTGTATATGAGAAGGGCTGCTGTTGCATGTCCATTGCTTTAGTGTTACAATGCCTGATATCTAGAACTCTCTATACAGCTAACAAGCCCATCCATTATTTCCTGTATCTAAAACCCATAACCCCTCTACCTATCACCTTATGGGCCACCTTCTTCAGGAGGAGCAATTTAACTGCTTAATTTGATGGCGATGTAGTGAACAATTGGGTATGGCCTATGCCTATGGACCTTCAATGGGGCAGAGGGCTGGTTGCATACAGATCTTCACCCTCTCTTCCTGTGTCACTGTATATAGGCAATGCTTCAGTTGGAAAATTAGCATTCCTTTTATGATGCATGACAGTACACACCTTCCTTTAGAAGTAACATGCAATGACTGTGATCCTGGGGAGGCAGATTATTTAAGCAGGCATTTACTCTTCCAGGTCAATGTTGCCCCAGTCCACTAGGAAACAAAAAGAAGAAAAAAATATCGGGGACACACAATACTCATTCTTATGGCAGTAAAAGTGATCTGTATGAGAGACACAAGCGTGTGTACTGTCATGTCTGTACTAGAAACATTGAGAATAGGGGTAAGTAAAACTTCCATTTTCAATGCATTGCAATGTCTTCAACACATGCATTGAAAATAGAATCTCACCGGGAAGCATGCCAGGAGCTTGTGATACAAATCACTGACAGCAATGATCGTATGCATCAGAATTGGTTGTATGCTGTGAGCGTGGCACAGAAATGTTACTTTTTTTCAGGGATAAACACATTTCTGTGCCCTGATGCAAAATGTGAACCAAAGACCTCAAATCATTAATAAACTGATTCTGATATAGCTTAAGAAATGCCAACAACAAGTGCAGACTCCAAGGTTGTAACATGTAGCAGTAAAAGACACTTAAACCAGGAAGGAGAACCTGTGCATGTAATGAGCTTTTTGTTTAAATGTTTACACATTGATATTATTTACATATTCAATATTTGTCTTAAAAAATGATACTTAGCTAAAATGTATCCTTAAAGCAGACATTTCCCCCTTCACTAAAAATCGCATCAGCATGCAGCTCATCTGCTCTTAGATTGCCCTTAGTAAAAATGGCCACTGTGAGAAGAATGGGGAGGAAAAGAGAGATAAGATATGCAAAGAATAAAAGCCGGCAATTATCTAGAAGTATGTGTTTTGTAGATTGTTATTACCAAACATTTCTAATGTTGTTATTTTAAAGATATAGGTAAAGTTTCTCTAAGGTAAAATTTGTTTTAGATGGGGAAGGGCTTGAACCTCAAGTGTTCCCACTTAGATGTCAGGTGTTCATTTCTAATAATGTCCCCACTGACGAGATCCACCCCCTATGTTTGTTCTGGTGACCATTCTCATGGAACTGAAAATGAGGAAAAAATGCAGAATTTTGAGTACTTGTCTGAAGAGGGATAGAGCGGAAATCTTCCAAAGGAGACAACCGGCAAAGGGGAGATTTCATCTTTCTTTTATGACAAAGGGTTTTAAAGTGACATTAAACTCAGAAGTCAAATCTTAAAAATACATTCAGATATCCTAACTATTAACAGCAATGTCTCTTATTTGTGTATCACTCGGTTGTAGATCCTCAAATCATCTCCGGATTGGTGCCGACACTGTCCTTCCTTCTGGGGGTGGGGGGCTACTTTTGTTCCTCATGGTCCCTGTGTGTGTTGTAAAGTAGTCATCGCTCCAAGCTCACTCCCGTGATGGACTACAATCTCACTACAAATTAGTAAACCAAACTTGAGATTGTAGTCCACATATATAAAATAATTTTGTATTCTCCTGTAAGTGTTTATTATTGACTATGATTTATTTTATTTGTTTTCTTCTAGATGATCCCAAAGTAGTTGTTGCAAATCTTACGGTAAGCATTTAATTAGTAATCTGGATTATAAGAAAAATATAAACACGTATGAAATATCAAGGAAAAATGCCTACAGAGACATGAAAACTTTAATTACCAGTAGGTGTGTGTGTAAACCTATAAAATAGGGTATGTTACATAATGACATTAAAGTGTATGTATAGCTTTTTTATTATAGTTTTGTCACTAAGACAGCAAATGTTAGAAAATCCTACTTTTCAGAATTGTTCCTAGAACAAGAGGTTGTCAATAGAAGGTTGTTGTTATTTCAATAGGGACACCTGTTCTGGTGACAACTGCCTAAGAGGTAAATTCCCCTCACTTTGTTGAGATTTCTTTTCACTTCCTGTTGCGTTAAGAGAACTCTCCCCAGCAGAAAGCAAGAAATATACTGACAGGGGTTTTAAACAGATTGCCCTCTGTAATATAAACATGCAGGAAATGCTACCATCATGCCTTTTAAGTGAAAGGGATAACCTTTGCCAATGTGTCTGGGTGGCTTATGACCCATTAAAGTATATTTATAACAAAAGCAATAATGAAATCTGTTACAGCTTTTAAATCCTTAGATGTAGTATCTGCATTAGTTTCAGGGCTTGTTCACACCAAATTCAGAACCAGATCTGCATAAGTTTCTGCATATGCAGTGCATTTTGCAGTGTTTTTGATGCGTTTTTGCTGCGTTCCGGTCCGTTAAAAAAAAAAAAAGTTTAGCCTAAAATGGGCTTTCAGTGCGCTCCAAGGCATTTGAATGCGTTTTTTATGCGTTTTGGTGCATTCCAGGTCAGAACATTGGGCATGCTGCATTTTTTCTACATGCTCTGGCGCTGAACACTGTGGTGTGAACTAGAGCCCAAAATACCATTGGAATACATTAGATGCAATATAACTGCTCTGCATCTGCTCAGCTCTTGGTGTGAACAAGCCCTCAGGGTTTTCTTCTCCTAAACTTGTACCTGGTGATTCTGCCAATAAAACACTTCTGTACTAGAATGACAACGCTCATTCTTTGCACTGTATCTATGGAGGAGCAGTGTTGTCACCCTAGGACAGGATGTATGTTAGAACTACAGAACACCTCCTGTTCAGCTCCATAACATGGAGAGTCAATGATTTGTAATTTACAGAAGATTGGGGAGAAAGTTGAAAACATTGGAGAATCGGTTCAGTGCACAGGAAACAAGGACACTGGATTTCTTATCCGGATCAGAATTAATTTTCTGTAGTTGCAGAAAATGTTCTTGGCCTGAAACCCCCCATCATAGCCACTATATGTAGGGACTTGTAAGCTGCAATATATTATATGTTTGTGTCAATCTCCCCGCCAGCTATTATATTCGGAGAGCCAGCACCCGCCGCTGTCAGAATAGCAGTGCCTGCAGTTTTAAAACCTTTGCCAGTCTGTTATTGCTTTCTCTCTTGGGAAAATCAACACTCAACACTATTTGTCCTGGTGACCTTAGCCAGTAAGAGGGAAAAAACAAAGAAGATTCCTAAACTTGTCACCAAATCAGGAGGGGAAAGTTTACCATTGAGGACACTTGTTCAGTGACAGCTGTCTATGATGCTATATCTACTTCATTTTGAAGAGATTTCTTACCACTTTCTGTTGCATCTCAGAAAGTGGATTACATACCCTGAACAGGACACCATTAAAATAATTTCCCACTTGAGTTTGGCTCTAGATATACTTTAAGTTCCAACTAGAGTTTGGAATGGTTAGAAACTTGGTCAGGTTTTTTAAAATTGATATTTGTGTTGCATTGGAGAGATACTAGAATAAATGGATAATAGATGAGAAATACTTTGTTTATATTGTTTCACATGATTGCAATTCTTACTTGCCAGTGTAAAAAACCAGACCAGCACTTTAAGCCTTACCTGAAGCAATACCTTCCAAAGAGACTGCACTATGCCAACAACAGAAGGATAGAAGACATTCATATATTGGTTGACAGGAAATGGCATGTAGCAAGGTAAGTGGCCAAAGAAAATCCAAAAAAATGCAATAAATCACATTAGCCATATGTCACCTCACAGGTTCAACCAGCGAATAAAGTGTACTTATCATACTGAAACTATTGGCATCAGAACCGCGCCGCCCTTGCACTGACTACTTTTCAGAGACATGATGTCAGCAGTTATAAATTTGCATGCATGCCCCACATACAGGATACATTCCATGGTAAAGGGAATTGTGTACTCTTCACACAGGAAACCTGTAGATGTCTATAAAAAGCCAACCAAAGGCTGTGTTTTCCAAGGAGATCATGGCTATGACAACAAGATTAGCAGCATGCAGGTATGGAAAAGACAAATGTTGTGTTACTCATATTTTAGACTGAAACAGATGTAGGAACTGCTTTTAATTATCTTAATTTTTTTTAAAGACGGTCTTTGTTGCATATGGACCTACATTCAAATACAAGACGAAAGTACCTCCATTTGAAAATATAGAGTTATATAATCTCATGTGTGGTAAGTCACTTTCTTGCACTTTTTTTTTTAAATAGTATGGTTATATGTATACTATTATCATGATTAGAGGTGCACCGAAATAGAAATTTAAAAACCGAAATAAAAAAATTGTCAGGCCGAAACCCAAAATGTTTTTATTTACATTTTTTCAAATTTGTTATTTATTTTTTTATAAACTTTTTAATTTTTTTAATTTTTTGTTCATTTTTTTATTAAATATTTTACTTTACTTTTAGGGGCTTCTATGAGTGTTCCTGTTCATTGATAACTTGAGAACAGAGTATGATTACTATAACCACAACTATGAATGAACAGGAGTTGATGTAGATCACTTCCCATTCATTCATAATTGAGGATATAGTACACATACCATGTCCTCAATTATCTACAAATACTCAGCGATCGCTGAGTGTCTTTACCCCCTCTCCTCTCTGATGCGCTGTCACAGGAGGCTGAGCGAGTGGAGCAGGGAGGAGAGCTCAGTCTCCTGTGGCAGCGCTTGCTGTCTCCGCCCCCACAATGCTCTGCCGGGCTGTGATAGGCGGCTGAGCGGTGTGGGAGGAGAGACACCGGCCGCTCACAGCGCTCGGCCGGCTGTCACTTCCTCTCCTGCCCGCTGGGACACAGTGCAGCGCCCAGCCGGGAGGAAAGAAACTTGGGATGCGCCGATGTATCGGCAGGAAAATTACACTTTCAGCATTTAGCCAAAAGTGCCATTTTCGGCCGATATGCTTCGGCGGTCGATATATCGGTGCATCCCTAATCATGATGCTTGAAAACATTAAATGAGACATGTGACTTTGAAGTTGGGTCAGCTCCTGTTGGGCTCCAGCAGCAAGATCTCCCTGACATACAGGTGAAACTCAAATAATTAGAATATCATGCAAAAGTAATTGCAGTAAGTGCTGCAAAAGGGGCCCAAACCAAGTACTGAGTACATATGCATGCTTGTACTTTTCAGAGGTCCGATATTGTTCTATGTACAATCCTTGTTTTATTGATTGCATGTAATAATCTACTTTTTTTGAGGTTGTGGATTTGGGGTTCTTGGGGTTTTCATGAGCTGTAAGCCATAATCATCACAATTATGTCATATCTTGCTTTGCATGTAATGAGTCTATCTCATATATTAGTTTCACCTTTTAAGTTGCATTAGTGAAATAAATGAACTTTGCACAATATTCTAATTATTCGAGTTTCACCTGTAATTCCTGACTGCTCCTGTCCACCTGGGAGTTTTGAATATTCCTGCCCACTTTTTGTGTGTTCCAGCGTCTCCCATTACATTCTCCATAATTTAAAATGAGCAATCCAACATTGAGAGAGGGTGCCTATTGTAATAAACACAGCACTTGTGCAGACCAGAGATCAGGGGATTATGCCAATAGAATCTTCAAGATACAGAAGTAACTGTCAGGTATTTTAACTCCATCATCTACCTAACATGGAAATACGTGCATCAGTTGTAGGCGGCTTGATCCTTTGTTATAGGAGCTTACATGTTGTCTACCCATGTCATTTGGAGGCTCTATTCTAAGAAGAGACTGGTGGCATTTAAAGTGACATCTTATAAATGCATTTAGGTACCTTTTTTAACTATTTTTTTTTTTTTTTTAAACCGCATATACCACAATTTTTATTTTAGGCAGACCATTGATAACTGACATACACTCATACACTGGAGAGTACACCCCAACAACAGAAACAAGTAGGGTGCGAAAAGAGGAAAAAGAAGGAAAACAGGAAACGCGGTGTAAGATCATCCATTTGAGCCAACGGTGGACGGGAGTTGTCGTGTCATCCGTATCGCTTTCGGAGAGCCTGTCGGGCGGTCTCTGCCAGGTGACAGTCGCGGCATCTTAGGTTCATCGTCGTCAGGGGCTACATCCGTGCGACCCAGTAGATGTAGAGAATCAAGGCATGCCCTCATTTCATCCACGGTGATAAAGGTGTGGGAATGGCCATCATAAAAAAATTGTAGCTTAAAGGGAAAGCCCCAGCGGTACCGTATCTTCTTGGCTTGTAGAACTTGCAGCAGGGGTTTAAATTCCCGTCGGCGTGCAATTGTGGCTGGTGAAAGGTCTGTATAGACTTGATACGAGTATCCTTGGAAGTGCAGGGGTCCTGCTTCCCTAGCCGCTTGGAGTAAACGCTCCTTGGTGCGATAGTAGTGGAGACGCACAATAATGTCCCTCGGGGGACCATCAGGCGTGCGTCTCGTCAAGGCCCTGTGGATCCTGTCGAATTCCATTCTGTCTATGGGGATATCAGGTGCCAGTTCCTGAAATAGTGCAGTCACGGTGGATTGGAGATCTAACACCGTCTCGGGGACCCCCCTGATGCGCAGATTAGATCTGCGATCCCGGTTCTCAGTGTCTTCCAGTTGTGTGAGAAGAGTTAAGTTCAAGGAGCGAAGCTTTTCCAAGTCTTCCTCATGACCCTCAATGATGGTAGTGATATCATTGCAGCGGGATTCCAATGTGGAGGTTCGTTTGCCCACATCCCTGATTTCCCTAATGAGCTGAGAGGTGATCTGCTTTGAGACCTTATCCAGTGCCTTGTGCAGGGTTACCTCAAATTGGGCCATCAGGGACGGTGTCAACTCAGGGTCCGACGGAGCCGTTTGCAAGCTATCTCCCTGTGGGTCTTGGGGCTCCACTGAGGAGTTAGAGTCCTCTGCCTGTAGTATTGCTGGCGCTGGGGCCAGTTTGTGAGCCGCGCGGTCCAAGGCCTCATGGAGGGTTGGTTGATTCATCTTACCGCCCCTACTTCTGGTTTGCGACATCTCGGTATGTACCGATCGGCGTCGGGAGCCCGAGGCTAGGAATCAGTGTTTGGAGCGAGAACGAGTCCGGTGATCAGCCGTAAAAGTCAGTTATTCTCCCGGTCAGGCGCGGAGCTGGTTAGTGTGCGGCCATCTTGGTCAAGCTCGCGCATGCGCTTAGGTACCTTTTTAACTATTAACAAGATTGTATCTTATTTGTGTATCACTCGGCTGTAGGTCAGCTGAATTCATGGTGACACTGTCCTTCCTTCTGGAGGGGGCTATTTTTGTTCCCTGTGGTCCCTGTGTGTGTTGTAAAGTAGCCACCACCACAAGCTCGCTCTATCTACAGTCTTGATACAAATGAGTAAACTAAACGTGAGATTGTTGTCCATCACAGGAGTGAGCTTGGAGCGGTGGCTACTTTACAACACACACAGGTACCATGGGGAACAAAAGTAGCCACCCTCCAGAAGGAAGGACAGTGTCAGCACCAATTCAGAGATGATTTGAGGATCTACAGCCGAGTGATACACAAATAAGATACATTTTTGTTAAATCTTAAAAATGCATTCAAGTACCTTTTAACTATTAACAAAAATGTATGTTATTTGAGAAACCCTCAGTTTCTTCATATTGTTTTTTTTTGTATGGTTGTCATCCGATAGTAGGGAAATGGTGTAAAAATCGAGTCAGATTATTGAGCTGACAGCTTCTGCACATGGAAGGGCTTCCACAATCGCTTTGGGTTGTAATAGGGATGAGTGAATTTAGAACTGAAGTGCCACACTGTAATAATCAAGGAGTTTTAATCCCATCGCTACTCTAGCCAAAAATAAAAAGATAAAAGATACATACTCTATTTGTCTCCTTCATTAACATACATAATGCTCTCTTAATATATCATCTAGTCATCTTTTGTGTTCTGTTTCTTCAGACCTTCTTGGTTTAAAACCTGCCTCCAACAATGGAACTCATGGAAGCTTAAATCACCTCCTAAGAATGGCAACTCACAAGCCAGGACTGCCAGATGAAATCTCCAAACCAGTGCCAGTCGTTGTCTCTCCATCCACTGTGAACGAAGAGCTAGGATGTTCTTGTGAGGTTCAGGTAAAATATTTCTTGATTATTGTCCCATTTTGTTTCAAGGAAAAGATCATAGATGTAAATATGGATGCTGAGGTTTAGAAGATCATAGATGTAAATATGGATGCTGAGGTTTAGAATATCATAGATGTAAATATGGATGCTGAGGTTTAGAAGATCATAGATGTAAATATGGATGCTGAGGTTTAGAATATCATAGATGTAAATATGGATGCTGAGGTTTAGAAGATCATAGATGTAAATATGGATGCTGAGGTTTAGCAAATAAGAAATATAAAGCGTTTAAAAGAGAATCTGTTGGGATTAAATAATGAAAACTGCCTTGCTAAATTTTGTTTTTTTAAAGCCCACACTCAAAGATTGTCATTTTTTATCCTTGCTGCCATCATTTTTAAGTTTTATAGGCTATAAATTTACAGCTTCCACATATGTTATTTAAAGAAATTGATCGAAAACAGAACACATTTTTGTATGTTTCCGATTGGGGTTTCGATTCCTGCTCGATCTAAGTGGTTAAAATTTCCAAAACGTTGCCATGTTTGGCAAGCTCTATACCATTTATATTTGTTTCAGGTCATTGATAGATGAGAAAGGTCAAGGTCAAGATAGCGAGAAAGAAATAAACAAAGCCATTTAACTTCTACAACCCGGTCTAAAGAAACATTCTGGCCTAGCTAAGGAAGTCACAGAATATGGTCTGCAGGTTGCCCAATGGCCTCAATAAGAGCCACATGTGGCAGGTTGGGCACTAGGCATTTACACAAATGTATCAAAAAGCCAGTATCATCACTTTTCTGACAACAGTCCCCACTGGTCTATTTAAATTGACCTTTTAGTTTAGTTAACATTTGATGGTTGCATTCAAATTGAATTCATTTTATTTTCTTGTGTTTTTTTCACTATGAAGAATAAAGCTGAGGAACTGAATAAAAGACTTTATGTCAAAGCAACAGATGGTAAGGATAACCCAATTATTTATTTGGTGTCTTTGCCTTTCTACTTGCAATTTTTTTAGATGGTTGTAATAATGAATTGTTGGCATATGAAGGTTTTGTAGCTGCCCAGGTTATTAGATATTAGAGTTTGTAAAGTAAAAAGACATGTCACCCTGCACAAGTAGAGAGAGCAGCAGTGACCGGTCTTTATTACAGTAAGCTCCTGCACAGAGGCAAAGTTTAATGCTGAAAGCTCACCAAGATTCAAGTAAGAATGAATACACATCCCTCTTGTATTCAGACTAATCTAGGGGTTCAACTTTAACTTCAGTCTTAGAATTTCTGTGGATATTTGATGTGATAGAGTTGGCGTTCGGATTATATTTTAAGAATTGTATTGACTTCTGTTTAAATAGATTAAATTGATGCATTGTAATCTATGTAGATGTCTTTGAGTCAGTTTTTCTTCCTAACCTGTATTCAATTAGTTCTGCTACTAATGTAGCCCCATAATAATGATACACACCCATCTTTTATATTACCAGAGCTACTTCTATTGTTTCTTGTCATATGAATGTAAAATTATGGTTTGCAGTCACTATTAGAACTTGAAGTTATTTAAATCCTAATAAAAGAAGTGACCATAATTTGTGTTTGTATAATGTAATGTTTTTTGTGATGGTTTTGTGAATTCTCATGTAAAATTATTACCATTATAACAGCAGCTGTTTTTTTTTTCCCCCCCCTGTAAGACCTCATCCACATATATCGAATGCCGTTTTCTGCTTCAGTGATATATTATTCAGGATTTTTTTAAAAAGAGATACCGTCTATTCGTGTATTTGGCAACTGAATTAACTTGCACCGTTATACATTTCTTTAACCAGTCTGGAAAGCATCACGTTAAACGGACATTTCACAGACTTTAGAAAGCATTTACAAAACATTAAAAAAGCTTTACGCAACCTTATTAAAGCCCTCTATGCATTCTTTAGCACCAGTCCAAGAATACCAAAACATATATTTAAAGAAAAAAGGTATTTAAGATGTTTGTGCTGCATACAAGCATGTCGGTAGGTTCAGGAAATGATTGTCAATTGTTTGAAGCTTCAGTCAGAACTCCCTTTGTAACCTGTGTTCAGCAAACTCACAAGTGAAGCTCAAGAGTGCTTAAAGTCCATTTCCACCTTTGTAAGTGATTAGCATTTATTGTGGTAATGTAGAGGTGCAGTGATGATGTATACATGTGCACATTTTCATGACTCACATTGCTGGCTCACTTCATTTATTGTGAAGGTTTTCTTAGGCCTGAAGCCTTAAAATTCAAAATTTTCTCCACCAGGGTGTCAGAATGTAAACAGCTGCCCCCCTCCCTGTCACCCATTGTAACATGATCAGTAAACACCAGCTCTGCCTTTACACACAATACACTGTGCTGAGGGGGGGGGGATGTACACACATCTCCATGCAGATATGAAGAGGAAAACTAAAAAAAAAATTACGTTTCTGTGTTCATATGCATCAGCTGCTTATGCCTGCTTCGTGTTCACTCTATGTATATTGTTGGCACATGTTTTTTTTTTAAAGAAAACCTCTGCAAAGGTGGGAATTGGCTTTAAAGGAAGCTGCTGGACATTTTTAGTAAATGATTAATGAAACTTGCAAAAGAGCTTGCTGGAAATTATGCCATTCAGACTTGCTTTTTGTAAGCTGAGATTAAAAAATTCCCATAGGTACTGGATCTAAATACTCATTTCAGAATCTTTTATGACATTTGCTTCTATTTTTTGCTTTTGAGAATGGGGAGATTTGCAATGCAATTGTGTGATGTGCAGGTTCAAATTACACTTTTGAAGCCTGCAGGCAGGTTTCCGCAACAGGAGCCTTGTAGTGAGGTGTTCACATAGGGAGTCTTTCAGGCAGGTGTCCACCTTTTTGTTATGAATTTTTGCTTTTAAAAATGTGAAGTTATGCAATGGTATGATGTACAGGCTCAGATGACACTTCTGGAGCCTACAGGCAGCTGTCCACAACAGGAACCTTTTGTAGGTAGCTGGCCACAATGGGAGCCTTTGAGGAAGATGCCTGAAATGGGAGCCTTTCAGGCAGGTGTCCACAAAAGGAGCCTTTCAGACAGGTGTCCACAACCGTGATCCTTTCAGACAGGTGTCCTCAACCGGGAGCCTTTCAGCCAGGTGTCCACACCAGGAGCCTTTCAGGCCGGTGTCCACACCGGGAGCCTTTCAGCCAGGTGTCCACAACGGGTTCATATTACACTTCTGCAGACTACAGGCAGGTGAGACTACAGGCAGGTGTCCACAACAGAAGCCTTGTAGGCAGGTATCCACATTGGGAGCCTTGTAGGCATGTGTCCACAATGGTAGCATTGTAGGTAAGTGTCCACAGCGGGGGCCTCATAAGCAGGTGTCCACAGCAGGAGCCTTGTAGGTAGGTGTCCACAATGGGAGTGTTGTAGGCAGGTGTCCACAATGGGAGCCTTGTTGGCAGGTGTCCAAAGTGGGAGCCTGTAGTAGATGCCCAAAGCTTGATAGAACTTTTTTTATACCTTGTTTTGGTTTATTCACTACATTTGCTGTATTATATAGAGCACATCGTCCAGCCCTTGTTGGTCTCATCTGTTACCAAATTATGCAATACCACCAAGGCTGGATGTCTGCATAGTCCCGCATAGGCCAGGACCTGGATTGGTACAGTTTTAGAGGTCTGTAGATTGCACTTGGCTTTGTTGCCATATCAAATTTTCTTTACATGTAAGTTTGCAAGGGTAAATATTTCAAGTAAATGAAGACATATAGATCAGATAACATTGTGACGGTGCACAAAAACTTTAGGTCAACTAGATGAAACCCAGACCTTATTACCATTACATTTTCAGATAAACTAATTTGACTTCCGCTCTCCCTTTTTATTCATTCTTGCGGCTGTTAAAAATAAAGCAGATAAAGGATGCTGTTTGGCTTTCATGGGTATTATAAAAATCGAGCTCTCAGTCTGTTAGGCACACTATATTTAGGACAATGGCTTCATGTTCTGGTTGAAGAGCTAAACCTCCTAGTTTAGATGCTCTCTTCCCTTTATTTTATTAAAGCATATCTAAAAACAAAAAGATATTGTATTGAAGCTTACCAGTCCTTAGACTAATCCTGCCAAGAACACTCTTTCTTGTCCCTGGGTGGCTTCACTCACTCCTGTACTGCATCTATGAAGGGAGCCTTGGTTGTCACAAAAAGGTGGACATCAAACATGTCTGCCTTTGTTAATCACCACGACGTGGGGGATTAATGGGGCTAATAGTTTACACAAGAAAGATACATTTCTTTGTGCTTGCTTGAACTCACAGTAAGTGTCAAAGACACTGCATTTCTGGCAAGATCAACTGGTGTTTTCTGTACTTGCTGAAAATGTTCTTACCCCAAAAAAGAAAACTAATGACTGAGGACTGGTAAGCTGCAATATCTGAATTTTTTCTGTTCTTGGGCTTAGTTATCCTTTAAGATGAACAGTGACTAAAGCTCACAGGGATTTGTTGTCATCAAAAGCTGCAGTAATGCTTGTATTTGTTTTGTATTAACAGATGTGGCAGTAGACGAGCTTAGCAATGAAATTAAGGAGGTGCTGCCAAGGAACTCAGGTTTGTCTATCTCTTACTTGTGTAGATTTAACCTGCTGTTGTAAAAAAGTACGTCTAGAAGGGTGGTTTTCCAGAGGTGCAAGTTAGCAACCAGCTGAGTGAGAAAGCTGGACTGAAAACTGCCGCATCTGGTAAATCATGACCCAAGTGTTGTTTGTCCGGTGGCTGGGAATAAGGAAATCTTTGTGTCTGTCCTTCTGTGTCATTTGTGTATGTCAAAGTGGCAGATAAATAAAGAATCATTATATCGTGTTTCTCTCAACAATAAAAGGCTTGCACACTGAGGATGGCTTTGCAGGGCCTGCGCTCTTAGAAAGGTTAAGTGGCAGCTCAGAAGAGGCAAGTTTAAGTACTTCTTCATGGGAACACCAGCAAGAGTCTTCGGGAATGGCAATGACGAGTGGAGCTGGTGAGGCTTTGAAGCAGGGCATATTAATGGCTCTTAAACATCTTAAAAACCGCTAACACCATTTTATTCATTTTCCAACACTTGGACCACATGTAATAGTACTACGATACTGCCCATATTTTAGACTGTAACCAGTGGAGTTGTGTTATATATATATATATATATATATATATATCTATATAAAGTGCATCTAAAGGAAAAAAGGCTTTTTTAACATGGATGTATGACTGGGCAAAAAAGGAGGATATAGACATTATACTCATTGATGAAGAACTTTATTTACTTTACCATTGTCCTCTTTGTTTACTGTATTTCTTTTACCATGGCCATAGAGGTCTATGTCCCCATTGGGCAGATTCATGCTTACGTCCTGTGAAATTTACCTTCACTTCCTATCCAGGGATATTTATCTGATGGGAGTGGAAACAGCTACACAAGCATTTATTTAGTAGAGAATGGAAAAGTTTAGAACATCAGCTCAAGTTTGTATTGCTTTCTGTCTTCTGTTATGGTGACACGCAGAAGGTTAGATTCTGAAACCTTCAGAGGCAAAGGATATCTGGTCATAATGTTGCAGTTGGGACAAGAGTGATATGACTTGTCATTGGGTTTTGGCTTTGGTTTCCTTTCTGGAGTTGTCTTATTATTGTCTGTGCTCTTATCCCTACCATATAGTATAGACTGGAGTCTACGGTATGCTGCTATGGTGTACAGCACATCTTTTGTTACAAAATGTGCTTTAAAGTAAACTGTCATGAACCTTTTGCAGGTCAAACTGAGCATAGAATGGAAAGACCCACGAGTATAAACAGTTCAGAAGACCCACGAGTATAAACAGCAGAAGTTTTATATGTAGTTCTGTTTTTTTTTTTTTTGCTTGACTCTTACCCTTTCTGTCTACTGAGCATTCGTGTTGGCCTTAAAATATGATGGGCATACAAGATATGATGGGCATACTGCTTGACCAATGCAGTAGGAAGGGAGGTGACGAGCTCGACTTCTATAGGAAAAGTCAAGATTTGCATATAACTTCAGCTGTCTCAATCTCTAGGTCAACTTATTGTTTTGGTATGATTTTTTAAAATTCTGAATACATAATTCATCGTAGTCAAGGTTAAAAGAAGAAAAAACTTCCTCATCCCGAGATATATAGAATACCATCAGTGTCTGAATTAACCATCCTCCAGTCATATCATTCCATCTATACTTACCAGTATGCCCTTAATATTTAAATGTATCAATTTGATTGAAGCTGAACTCCAGGCAAAACCACTATTATCTAAATACAAAGTCCTGCGTATTCTTACTTAAATCTTGGTGAGCTTTGTGTATTTCTTCCAGATCTGTGCAGTAATCCAGTGTGAAATTTGGAGCTTCCTGTAATAAAGACCGCTCACTGCTGCTCTCTCTCATTGTGCAGGGTGACTGGTCTCTTCTCCACCCCCCTCCTGTGATAAAGACCGCTCACTGCTGGTCTCTCTCATTGTGCAGGGTGACTGGTCTCGTCTTCGCCCCTTCCTGTAGTTTCTTGCGAGCAGCCTGTAGTGGGTGGGGGCCTGGTGTGCCCCTCCCAACAGCTCTTCACATGCTAGATACTATCTTAGTTTCCAAAGGCATATGTTGCAAATAACATGGATTTATATCCTGTGAGACTATTGCAGGATGTATTTAAATTAAGGTTTTGTGCCCGGAGTTCAGCTTTTGTACCGCTATCTGTAAATTAACATTTAAATGTCAGTTAGTCAGACCCTTAACTATATAAATAATATGCAGTTTAAAAATGATTCATACACTACCACGTGACCCGGTGCAACCGCAATCTGTTTTAGTTATTTTTTAATGTTTCCATGCTGTCAGCCAACCTGTCAGTTTTTATATTCTGTGTGATTCTAAAATGTTTATTCGTATGTCATGTTATTCTTTTTTACTGCCTGTAATAGCTTATGTATTCTCCTTTTCATAAAATACATGTAATAGGCGTGAACACTTCTTCTACGCTCCTTTATGTATAAGAGAAAAGTCACGTTATATTCTGTTTCTTTTTTTTGTTTTGTTTTAGATAGAGCAGAAAACGGTTTAGCTAGTCACACTACTAGAATTTTGACCTTTTAGCACCCCTGCGTTCAACAAAAACTGATTTTTCAATTGACTTTTTTATCATTATATCAGTAAAGAAATAAATCAAGGCAACTGGCCTTGCTGTATTTTTCGTAAAGACCTTTCTCCGGTCATCTGACCTAGATTTTTTAGTTCAAAATGACTTGTACACATAATATAAATACGGTGAATGTTGTTCCAATCAACAGAATTTGTTTATTATAACCAGCATGGGGTCAGAGACCTCATGGAGGTAAGGTGTTAGTTGCACTGGGGAGATTCACCCTCGCATCCAGTGAGAGGATTTATTCCTAGAGAATTTTCGTACAAGTCATTCTGAATTGAGAAAACTAGTCAGATGACCATCAAAACATCTTCAAGAAAAATACAGCAGGTCCAGTTGCCTTGATTTTTTTTTTTTATAGATATACTATGACCTGGCTGAATGAGAACCTTCACAAAGACTTTTGCAATTGTTGACTAAACAGTGCCTGCAGCCACTGTCCGGGTATTCAGACAACCACAAACCAGCTGCTGTCAGGGCAGCTCCTCCCAAAGCTGATATTTAAGTCCTGGGTTTGAACTTTCAACCAGCTTTTCCTATGATCAAAGCCATAATGAAGGTGTCACGCACTTGTGGCGTGACTTTGGAATTGTATTTGTTATACATGATGGTTGTTTCATTAAGAAAGGCTCACACCACTTGTCTTTTCAATGGCCGAAGCATTTGGGCAGAACTGTATTGGGTATCTAAACCCAAGAACAAACATGTAAACATTTTTTTTTTCTTTTACTATCCAGGCTTTTTTTTTTTTTTTCATTTTTACCTGGTGATCCTGTCAGTAACACGTCCTCCCATATCATGGAGATGAGGAGAGGAAGAGTTGTTCTGTAGTCTTAACACACTTCCTGTCCTGAGGTGACAACAGTCACTCACTGTGCTGTATCTAAGGAGGAGCACCATGGTCGCCATAAGACGAGAAGTGTTACGACTAAAAACATATTCCTCTCTTTCCATTCCCATGAGGTGATAACACTCATTGAGATTTTAGTGTGGCACACTGTACAGGAAGGAACTCCCTGGATTTCTAACATGGTCAACAGGCATTTTTTTGCAGATATAAAAAAAATGATTTCAGCGGTATATTAAACAAACCAAAGGGGAGAAAATAAGAGAAAATAACATTTCGTTGTTGGGGTTTACATAAATTTTTAAAGGATTTTTACTGTATGGTATTCGTATTTATTGTATTCACTTTTCCTTTTAGTATACTACCAAAATGGTGCAAGTATTTCTTCAGTTTAGGAAAATCCTGCCTGTTTCTTCTGCACAGTTTTTGTTGCTTGGATGACTTGGTTCCATCTGCAATGCATTTGGTCTTTTCAGAATATTTCCCTTTTTTATATTAGCTGTCATTTACTTAGAGAAATCATCTCTGTCGCAATGACGATGTCGAAAGTCTTACTTTTTGGTGTATTTCCAGCTTGTATGCATTGTATGTGAATGATGAATATTTTCTTATAGGCTTTCTGGTGTTCATGCTGATTTCTACCACCGTTATTTCTATTAAAAAGCATTACATCATTCATGTTATCTCTCTTCTTGGATGAGGTCATACAAAGTCGATATCATTGGTGGTGTAATACTTTATGGATTGAAAAATACCCATAGATACATTAATGACCAAATAATGTTTGGAATTAGTTGTGACTGCAAACCATAATATCATTATAGTCTGTGTTTGGTACAGTGGCTAGGTTTTTTGTTTGTGAAAAAATTATTATATATTGAATATGACACTTATCCAACATCTACTAGCTACATGTGTTGTGCATGGTAAGGCAAGCTGTATGAACCCATAGCTTTATTATTTTATATTTTCCAGATAAAAACCTCTTATATGGGAGACCAGCCATTTTATTTAAGACCAAGTATAGCATATTGCATCACAGTGATTTTGTCAGTGGTTACAGTGAGAGCTTGATGATGCCACTTTGGACGTCGTACTCCATATCCAAACAGGTCAGTACCTTTCCATGGTAGTCTCCATATTTTTATTCCAAGCATTGGAGTTCAAAGAAGGGCAAAGATTTAAAGCTGACCTCCCGTAACATTGTTTGGGCACACTGAACCATAAGACATGTAAGTTACTTGTAATAAAGTGTATCCCATGTCCTGCTGGCTGCCAGTTAATGTACAAATCTTCCCTTCATTGATGGCTTGCTCACACCATCTGCGTTGTGGCTGCACTGGCTGTTGTTTCCAGTGCAGCCCGAAGGCAAGACAAGGAGTTGCTACATAGGGTGACAGTTCACACCACAACATTCCAGTGTTGGGCGACTAAAAAGAAAAGAATGACATTTCAATAAAGTTTTAAGAAAAAAAATGAAACCCTGGATGCAGCTCGATCGAGTGCATTGGCACTGTTTGGGCCAATGCACATCAGCAGCCATGCAGTTGAGAACAGCTGCTGGTGTGAACCCTGATGGCAGATACACCACACAGGGGTGATCTTCTGGTGCTGTGGGGGTTAGGAGCTGCGGCTGTTGTGGATCACGCCGTTCGCCCTCCCCTTCCTGTCCCCTCATCCATTCACAAAAGTCCTAGTAGTCTTACAGAATGCAAGGCGTTCTGTGATTGGACAAGGGGCAGTCCTGTCATTCATCCACCCTCCTCCATTTCCAGAACACCTTGCATTCTGAGAAAATAATACAAGGACTTTTGTGAAAGGACCGGAAGGGTAGGGCGAACGGCACAATCTTTCACAGTTGCCACAGACTCTCACCCCTACAATGCCAGAAGATCGACCACTGTGGTTACTATTCAACATTAACGGAGGGAGGATTTTTCCAGTAACTGGCAGCCAGCAGGACATGGGATACGCTTAATTAGAGGTAACTTACGGGACTGGTGCAGCGAGCCCCAAAAACATTTTATTTTTTTACTGGAGTTCAATTTTGCTCGGAGGCTCTTGTTTCAAGTTGACAAAATGGTGTTTGTATGTACCTTCCCTAAAGAATCGGTCCAACCCAAGAAGCTATGCAGATCAGAAACGCAAGCATAGCGGTCTGACCATGACCCGACATGACCCGATGGGGAGATATACTGTGTGTATACTGTGTGTGTGTATGTGTATAATATATATATATATATATATATATGTGTATATATATAT